GATGGATGAGAAGGTTACATCTTTGCACATCAACATCATTTGCTATCACCTATTAAACAATAATAGAAGGATGCTCAGAAGTCCGAGCAAAAGATAAGATATTTAAGGAAGGAGTGGCAGAAATGAAGAATAGCCATTATTTTGGTTTATGGGGATATGGAAAGTTGAAAGAGTAAAAGGAAAGAGGAGGACCATTCCGCTAGGTAACGACCCAAGATCCACAGAGTGGTATATCATCTCTAGTAACTGAAATGTTTTTGAACCAGGAGCTGCACACACTGAAATTAAAGGAATAGTCAACATCCATTGATAGATGTTACCCAGTTTTAATATGCAACCATCTATGAAAAAAAATTAACACATCACACATACTTGTCTAACTCAAACACAAACTTACTGTCAAGAACAAAATGATCTGGGCGTACATCTAAGAAAAGTGGAGGAACCTGAATGAGCAATGAAAAAGTAAAGTTCAGTAAATTCAACCAATGGTTATGTAAGATAATCTATACACCTATTTTGAAGAATTAGTTCAGATAAATGGAATTCCTGTATCCAAACTAAAAGGCAATTCCATGATCTAATAAAGATACTCAAAGGTTCACCTACCATGCTCACAGCCTCTTGTCTTGTAATGTTGCCAATTTCATTCTGCAGTTTCAAGAACTCATGAAATCTGAAAAGGTTTCTCAAAATCATGATTTAAGCCACTCTTGAACACATGGATTATATTATTATATACCCAAAAAATGCATCAAGTACCTCTCAAGTGTTTGGGTTTTTCGCAACTGATTCCGAGAAAAATTGGACTGCCAAGAAAGGTTCTCAGGATACCAAGGCAATGGTCTTATTGCATCCACTTCACTCCCATCTGTAATCTGGAACATAAAAAACAAAATTTTACTACTATTTACTCTATACTAAATAAGTGAACATCTAACAAGTATTGCATTGTGCATTCACAGTTATTAGAAACCTATCAACCTCTGCCTGTAGGGACTTCACAAAATCATTCTCTAACTTCGATCGAATATCTATGTAGTTCTGGCAACTGCAATATGGTATGGACAAAAAAAGAGTAAATAGAAAAGAGATTGAATATGGTAGACATTCAAAATTTTCCTTGACTATTCAGGAATTTTATGATGTGGTTGATAGAGTAACTATGCAGGAACCTCAAGTGTCAAAACAGGGTTTTGAAATTGATATAGAGTGCAAGTTGAGAAGTTATGATATACTCCATCCATCCCAAAAAGTATATCCCACTTTGACTTCATGGAGTTTAAGAGGAGTGTTGAAAAGTTAAAAGTGTAGTTAAAATTTGTTTAGATTATATAAATGTTGTGAGGCACATGTTCCTTTCTTTCTTTTAAAGAAAATTAGGAATGTGTGAAATTGATATTGGGACAGGCGGAAAATGAAAGAGAGATTGTTTTTTCGAGTGAGGGAGTATATGCATAACCAGTAGAAATTGATTTTGTCACAGCAGTCCTTATAATATGACTGCAATCAATAATTTACTTAGCACAAGAATTAGTTCTTATTTTGTGGAGGCAAGATTAGGTATATATAAACACTAAGTATTGGGTATATAATGTAAATTGGAGATATAAGCAATGAATCCATTCTAGTACATTTGCTATTTTCTCAAAGGGCAGCATACTTTGAGAAATAACACATTAACACTTCACTAATATGTAAATCCTCCTTCAAATAATCAAACCACCACCTCCATGTGCCACTAAGCATACCAAGTTCGGACAAAAGCAAAGCAGGGAAAACCTGGAATTGATCCGAAAGGCAGCTGGCAAAGGTTTTCGGAGATATTCATTGAATGTGTCCCACTCTTCCCGTGACACTATTCCTTGTTCCTGCCATTCGAATCAACAACACATTCAAACTTCACCATAAACACAGAACAAAAACTGGGAAAATGCGAATTATTACAAGAAAAATAGCTATATACCTTGTAATAATCGTCGAAAGCGGGGTTCTGAGTGGCGAACGGCTCCCAGGAAGAGTTGCTGCTTCCGTTGTTTTTCTCTCGGGCGTCTGCCGTGGCGGAGCTGTCCGACGGTTGTGAGGAATCGAATTTACTTCTTTTCCACACGTTCTCTCTGCTCTGTGCGAAGTGTTTCCTCTGAGTGCGAGACCTGCCTCTGCCGCCCATTTTCGTCCGCCGTTATCCGCCGTACAATCACCTCTCAAGCGACGCAGAAATGGCGATGAGAAGGTTGCGCAAGGATTTTGAGGTTTAAGCGGATTTGTTGGGCTGATCCTAGGAGCCAAAGACAGAATCAGTAGACCAAAATTGTACACACCACCCTCTTTTCCTCCACACATTTTTATTTGATTTTTATTTACTTAATTTTTTTTGAATCTTTTTACCTTTTTTAGTGGACAAGGAGGGGGTGGGGAATATTTGAAACTGATATGTGAAAAAGTTTGGTCTCTTTAATTGATTTGATTAGATCTAGTTTATTCTACCCACTTGATTTAATCTCATTTGAACTACTTTGATTGGAGTAATTAAAGTTGTTTTTACTCCTTTCGTGTCTAAATATATCTCACATTTTTATTACTGAAGTAAAATAAGTTTTTCAATTCATTTTATTACATATTGATATAGAAATATTAAAAAATTACATACCAAAAAGTTACATGAAAAGTTCTTTGAAAATAAGAAATGTCAATAATATTTTATTTTATCAAATAACTAATGAAAAATAGAAATAAATAAAACTTCCTGAGACTGCTGAAAAAACAAATGTGAGATATATTTAGGGATGGAGGAGTATCTAATACGATCACATATACTCCCTCCGTCCTAAAACCACCTTCTCGGTTTGACTAAAACCCATTTTTAAAAGAGGACTAAATTGGCTTTGACTTTACAAAAATAACCTTCTTCTAAACTTGGAAAATGGGATCAGAAGTTTGCAAACAAATCAGAGCAATCCCACCCCACTTCAGAGCAACCCCGTAGTAATAGATGGCCTAAAACGATCTTGTAGTGAGCAAAAAATAGGCAAATCTCACTCAAGTCAGAGCCACTAACGTATCCGGGCAAATCTCACTAGAGTCAGTTATATAGCCAAAAATTGACGTTGAGATCTGAAAGAGATGGCCGTCTCCCGAAGATTTACTGCTCACTCACAACCTCTAGTCAGCAACGGGGCGGTCTACTCGGCGGAAGTGGAGGCAAATATTAAATCTATGTTTTGAGGAAGAGAAGATTAGATCTAGATATTGAAAAAGAAAGAGAAATAAGATCTAGATTTTGAGGGAGAGGGAAGAGAGATGACATTATTAGGCTCAAGTTTTGAGAGGGATGGAAAATGGGGATAAGAAATTGTTGTCAATGAGAGAAAGAAGAGAGAAGAAGAAAAAGTAGATGGGGATGAGTGAAAGGGAGAGACTCATCGAGAGATGCCAGCAAATTTAGAGAGGGGGTAGTAAAGTCCATTCACACACTTTTTTAATAAGTGAGAAGTTAGTTTTAGGACGGAGAAAAAAGGAAGTGGGAAGATGGTTTTAGGACGGGAGGAGTAATAATATAAAAGAAAACCCAATAAATAGGAATAAACATGGATCATATCCTCAAAATAGGATTTCAAACTTAAACTCCCTCAAATAAGAGTAATTAATTAAATATATGTTTTAATTAACCCTCCTAGCCGCACAAACAAGTTGGCCGCACTAACCAAGTTGGGTGCATAAACCAAGTTGGACTCCCAATACTCATTAAACAAAACTATGGCAAAAAGTAGAGTTACTTGACATTTACTCCTTTTTGACATTATACATTAACATCTGTGATATTTAACATTATACATTGATATATCTTTCATTATACATTACTAGGAATGATATTATACAATGTCAAGGTTGGCATTATCTATTTAATTTGTTTAGCATTATGCATTTGCCCCCTAAATATATGCAAGGTATTCAAAGTTCCAACTCTTTTACTCCTACTTTGGTCCATCTCCCTAAATATAATAACAAAACACACCCAAAACTTTATCAACAAAAATGAATCAATACCTTACATATAGAAACGTAGTAAATTGCTAAATTAAAATGTCCATTTCAATGTCAAAAAACCACATTAAATGTCACGTGTAATCATATAATGACAATCATGCTAATGTATAAAGTCATATATACGAATGCATAATGCTAAAAAATAACAAATTTGAACGTAAAAAAAAATTAAATATAATAACAAAACACACCCAAAACTTCATCAACAAAAATGAATCAATACCTTACATATGGAAACGTAGTAAATTGCTAAATTAAAATGTCCATTTCAGTATAAAAAAGACCACATTAAATGTCACATGTAATCATATAATGGCAATCATGCCAATGTATAAAGTCATACATGCGAATGCATAATGCTAAACAAATTAAATAGATAATGCAAACCTTGACATTGTATAATATCATTCCTAGTAATGTATAATGAAAGATATATCAATGTATAATGTTAAATATCACATATTTTAATGCATAATGTCAAAAAGGGGTAAATGTCAACTAACTCTACTTTTTGTCATCGTTTTGTTTAATGAGTATTGGGAGTCCAACTTGGTTTGTGCACCCAACTTGGTTAGTGCGGGCAACTTGTTTGTGCGGCTAGGAGGGTTAATTAAAACATATACTCCGTATTTAATTAATTACTCCTGATGGGCCGATATCCAGAGGACGGCCCAAATGAACCATTTAAACAGCTTCGGGTCAAGCACCCGTGAAATACTCAAGCTGGGCCGGCCCAAGGAGCTGGGCCAGCCCAAGGAGCTGGGCCTAGTTAACCTCAGGCCAAGCACAGCTGGCAGAGTCAGTCCGGAGAAGGAGACGGAGCTGATTGGCCGTTACGGAGCCGGGAAAAGGGGATCGCGCCCTTGGCGGGCTAGACTCCATCGGTTACGCTTCACCTTAATTGTTGAGAGCTCGTGTATAAATAGAAGGGACCCGAAAGGGGAGAACTCAAGCTAAATCAAGCTAGTAATACACATCGAATTCTCGAATTCTTGTTCTTAATTTTGTTCTTGCGATCCGCTTTGTAAATCGGATCATTTGGTGGATTTACTGTCCATCAAATTGGTGCTCTCGTTGAGAGTTCAAGAATCATACTCGGAAGAAATCATCCACAACGACGATGGTGCAAACACGTAGCAACACCAACGTAGGTACCGGAGTTCCCCAACAGGGGGAGAACAGCGCCACCGGAGGTCGGCACCCCCCCATCACCACCGGGGAGGCTGAGGCCCTCATTCAGAGGGTTGGGATCACGATCGAACAATTCAAGGAGGTGCTGGCCGCACTTGCGCCCAACCGCGAGGTAGTGGTGGGAGATGTGGCAGGGGGACCCACAGGCGAGAAGGCTGGACCTGCGGGCTCCCAAGGAAAAAAGAAAAAAGTGAGGCGGTCCCAGAAGAAGAAGGCGACCAAGCCCAATGGGAAGGCTATGATGGCAGATGCGCTCTCCAGGCTGGAAGAAGAGGACGAGTCGTCCTCCTTCGAGCGGATGTCTGCTTTTGACCGTTTGGGAGATCCCAAGTCGAAGAAACCTCGGACCTCTGCGTTCGAAAGGTTGCAGGACACTCGGTCGGCCCGAAAAGGCGACTTGAGAGACACGCTCAAGGAGAAGAGAGGGGAGTCCTCAGCGACCTCCAAGGTCGGTTATGAGGAGCGACGGACGACAGTCGGGGATAAGGGTGCAACCGAGCTATGGAAAATGTACGAACAACTGGAGAAGCGGCTGGATGCCCAGAACCCCTATCGCCAGGCGGTCTTCAGTGAGGTAACGCCCTTCTCCAGGAGGATAATGTCCTGCCCTCTCCCAGATAATTTCAAACTCCCCAGATCAAGGCATACAATGGGACGACCGATCCCCAAGACCACCTCGCTCGTTTCGGGGCCAACGTGGTCATGTACGCGTATCCAGAAGAAATCAAGTGTCGGTGCTTCCTGGCGACACTGGAAGGGCAGGCTTGTGAGTGGTTTCACAAGTTACCCAAGGGGTCGATAGATAAGTGGGGAGACCTGGTCCACAAGTTCTTGGAGCACTTCGCGTCCAGCCGGAGACAAAAGCTCCCCTTCTCGCATTTGCTCAATGTGAAGATCCGGAAGGGGGAACAGCTCCGGGAGTTCATTAATAGGTGGGAGAAGGAGGCTAGGGATGTCCAAGGGGCGGACGACCAAGCCCTGATCGCCATGCTCCAAGCTGCACTCCCCCAAGGGGATGTGCGTAAGGAGCTGCGACGAAATCCTCTCTCGACCTATCAAGAGATGTTGGCCAAGGTGAAGTACCTGGCGCTGGAAGAGGAAGATGATGAGCCACCAGTCCGGAAGGAGAAGAAAAGCGGGCCACCGGTGGCAAAAGGAAAGAAGAGGAAGGAATATGGTAAGGGGCCGAACCCCACCGGGTATCATGCGAACAGGCATCCCGTTCACGCGGTACAGTCGTTGCCGGCCCCTCCTCATGGTCGGGAAAGCTATGGTGTGCAAGATGCACCCAAAAACTGCGAGTACCACCGTAACAGCACCCATAACACGTCGGAGTGCGTTACGCTGAAGAAGGAGATGGATCAGCTGATCGCTAGAGGGCCACCTCCTCGGTCAGAGCGACCGTCCACAAGTAACCGGACCTGGAGGAGGCCGCCAGCCCCCACGACAGCGATCACAGCAGGAGAGGGGCAAGAAGATGGACGGCGGCACCTAGGGCGAGATTGTGATGACCTAGATGAGGAGGAGAGGCAAGGTCGCCGACACCTGGGGTGTCGGTTCATCATGGGAGGAAACACTGGAGGAGATTCGGTATCCTCCCGGAAGAAGTGGAAGAACATGGTGTACCTGGCCGAGGTACAGAGGCCACCGCTGCCTAAGCGAAAGAAGAAGGAACCTATGATCTTTACAGACGAGGATTATCCCCCAGTCCTCAGTCCTCACAGGGACGCTCTGGTGATAAGAGTGGAGATCAATAATGTGGCCGTCCACCGAACCTTGGTCGATACGGGCAGCTCGGTCAACGTAATGTACAGCAACACCTTTAAGGAGTTGGGATTGTCCCGAAGCGACCTGAAGCCAATCCATACGCCGCTGTCAGGATTTACAGGGGATACTATCGAAGCAGAAGGAACTATCACGGTAAAGGCCGGGGTAGGAGATGGCACCCACCGACTCTGGGTCGACATGGAATTTATGATAGTACAGCTCGACTGAGCCCACCATCTGATTCTGGGACGACCAGGGTTGGAGGACCTGGAGTGCGTAATCTCCCCCGTCCACTTATGCCTAAAGTTCAACACTCCCACAGGGGTGGGAGTAGCAAAGGGGAACCAGAGCCTGTCACGGTCGTGCTATGTCAGGGCGACCAAAAGCCAAGCCCGAGTCGACGAGAATGTTAGCACGATCTGTGCGGCGATCCAGAAGGAGGAGGGGCGACCCCGAGCTGAGCCGGCGGAAGAGGTCGAGGAAGTTTC